GTAGGCAGAGCTGGTGCCCCCCTTGCCACCCCTGCTCCTCCGCTCCTCCCCGCCTCCTCCCGCCTCCTCATCTTCCATCCATCTGACAGCCTTTGTTGGCACAACCAGGACACAACAAAGTGGCCTATATTTTGGTTTGTGCCTTCACACCCCTTCCCTTTCGAGCTTTTTAGGGCAGCTGGGAGTTTCCCGGGGAAAGGAGAATATAAATGGCCCCATGAATAATGAATGCCACCTCCTGTTTGTTCAGCCAGATGGGCCTGCCCCCAGGGGCAGGCGGGAATTTGCATCTTTGCTGGAGAGAGTAGCACGGATGAGATGCTTGGGCCTAACATGCTAGGGTTTAGTTCAGCGGGAACCTGGGAAATGACCCTGTTAGACTCTGCAGTTTGTAAACAGGATGACAGACTTGTCCTAGGATGGTTCAAAAACCCTATCGATTCAGTATATTTGTTAGTTCACATACAGGCACAGCGTATGTTTTCCTGCGAATTCACTATGGTGGACAGAGGGAGTCGTTTCAACCCAGTTTCACAGATGAGCGTCCTGAAGAGGCAGAGATTGTTCCCACGGGATGGAAGCCATGGGCTGCCTGGGCCGGGCTCCTGGGCTCTCTGCCCATTGGCCACCTGGCCTTGTAGGCTCAGGGGGCGGTGACACTCACAGCCAGGGGTCAGCACGCTGGGCATTTCTCTGAGCACATCCTCTCATGCTCAGATCTGTGCTACAAATCACGGGAGGCAGCCTGGGGCGGTGGGGAACATCATAATGGTAGTCATAGCAACAACAGTGGCCGCAGCGACCAGAATTGGGTGCTTCCTCTGTGCTCCGTGCTGTTCTAAGCACTTCACAGAGCCTAACTCATTTAATCTTGGTAGAAACCCTCATCCCCCCAGGATAGCAAGATGGGTGCTATGATGATCCCCTTTTATAACTGGTAAAACTAAAGCTCAGAGAGGCTAGAAAGTGGGCTGAGGGCACACAGCTGGTGCATGGCAGAGCGTGGAATAGGAGTCTGAGCTTTGACCTAGTTTATAGCTGCGGAAACATCTAGTAAATGAAGAAGCTGGGGTCACACCTCATCGGGATGGTTTTGTGCTCTCGGAGCTGTCGAAAGAAGCAGAAGCATGGCATCAGAGGCGATAGCCATGACTGTGGGTGGTTCTAGTCACAGCATGTGACAAGCACCTCATGGGCCTCATGTCTTCGTGACTCATCCTCGCAGAAGGCCTTGGGCACGGGAAGCGCTGACACCTGCGTGTCAATCAGCAGGGAGGGCTCCCGGCCCGCAAGGACCTTGCAGTTAGTTCCAGAAAGCAGCACTGTGTTGCCCAGTCCCTGGGGGTGTCCAGTCCGTGGATAACCGGGAGGCCAAGCCTGAGCTGGCCTGGAAGCCCTGACCCCCAGCCCCAGAGCTGGGTCTGCTGTGCCCTGGGCAGGCTCTCCTCCCTGCAGCCCGTCCACAGTGCCTGGCTGTCTGGTTATTCAGTGCAGACAGCCGTGCCTCTACTGGGGCCTCTGTCCTCCCAGAGGGGCGGGGCTTCAGAAATCACCTTTCGGAGTTGTCCCCGTCAATAAACAGACATCCTAGATATTCTTAAGAGGCAGTTGGACATGATAAGCCTCCCGAACACAGAGTCAGACAGGGCACTTTAGTTCCAGCTCTGCCATTTACAAGGATTTTGCTTTGTTGTTTTTTTACCTTGAAAATGTCTCTAGTCTCTCTGGGCCTTTGTTTTCTCAATTATAAAACAGTGATCATAGAACCTGCCCTCCCTGCCTCCAGAGGTATCGGGGGAATCGAGTAAGAATGCATTTGAGAGCACGTTAGCAGGCATTGGCAGTAAGTGGTCATTGCTGCTCTGGTTATTTTATTGTTCTTTTTCTTCTAAAACTCAATTTCAAATATTAATGAGCGCCCTTATTATGTATAAGGCACTGGGCTAGGTGCTGTCTCAGAGAGACAAAGGATGGTACCCAGGAGTCTTCCTAGAGACAGGCCCCACCTGGGCTGAAAGAGCTCGAGTCACACCAGGGTGGGTACAGGCCTGGGTGGGGCCAGTCCTGCTTCTCTCCTTTCTTCTCCAGGTCCGCTGGCTGGTGGGGGGACGGGGGGACGGGAATGAGACCAGTGCGCATCCAGGAAGGGCCTGGCCTCCCTGCCCTCTCACAGCCGATGTATTGGTAGATCTTCCTTGTCTTCCATACACACATCCATACGCCATCCACACATCACACACAGGACACAGGCATGACACACAGGTAGCAGATGTCAACATTCACCCATGTGCACACCCCATGCACAGTAAATACAATCTCTCTCTCTCTCTCACACACACACACACACACACACACACACACACACAGGCTCCAAGAAGACAAGGAACTAGATCAACTCTAGTTCAGATCCTTACAATGTGGTTGATGTCCTGTTGACTTACCTGTTTCACAAAGACTCAACCTTATGTTATAATCACTCTTTTGAAAGTCTTTTAAGTGACATTTTATGCCATAGAAAAAAATTTCCAATTAGGCTAATGAGGCAGGAAAATCAGATTCTCCGAAAGCCTTTTAAAATGCTGTGGGACCTGCAAATGGGGGTGGGTGGGTGCCCCTCACCCATCCACGGCACACGGAAGCAAGGCCGAATTTGGACCACCACCCAAATGGTACGAGGAAAATACATGTGGGTCCAATAAAGATTGGCAAGACAGGGGCAGAAATGGGGGGCCTCCTGAACTGAGAACCCAGAAGATCTGCCCTAAGGTGGCCCTATCCCTTCCCTTACTCACTTCTCCCTAAAAAGCTTTTCCTGTGCTCCTCCTCTCTGCTGCCTACTCCTGCAGATGAATTGAGTTAAAGGGACATAGCCAAGGACGCTCCCTACTATGTTCACTTTTTGATGCCATCACCCTGGAACCAGTGGGGGAAATGATGGCATTTCTGGTTGTTATGTTTGGCTCGTCCCCTCTCTTTCCCTCCATCCCTCCCTCACCTTTCTTTTTTTTTTTTCATTTGCTAAATAGTCTTCCCCCCGCCCCCCATGTTCCCAATGATGCTTGAAACATAAGATAACGTGTTGGGAGAGCAGTGTTCCAATATCTGGTGTCCCTTTAACATGGCTTGCTTGTTTTGGCCTCCTTATTTGCTCCCTAGCGTCATCCAAGATCGGCATGGATGCTACCAGCCCAGCTCTGGAAACCATGTTTAGCAATCCTTTCTACTCTAGAGCCAAGAGGTGGGCAGGGGTTGGGGCGAGAGACCTGTGCCTAGGTGTTTGGGAAGCCCACCCAGAGGCAGCTGTTCCTCTGCAGTTGTTTCATTGTTCAAATTGTGGGAGACTGGCCTTTGCCGCTGCCTGTGTGGTCCTTGACCAAAGCAGTGTGCGACGTGAGAGCTGGGGCAAGGAGATGACCGACTTGACCAATGTGGGCGAGACCCATCGTCCTCAGGAACCCTGGGAAGCGTCATTGGGCTGGGACATCTCAGAGCTGTGAGCAAGGGCGCAGGGACCTCCCAGCTCCCTTCTGTGGCCTTTCCTCGGGGCAGCTTCAGGGCTGGTCCTGAGATGGAGTTCACAGAGGAAGAGTGATGGGTGAGGCCAAATAGAGGCCAGCTAGAGGGTGCTGGAGCCCCCAAGAGGACCTGCCCTGTTCTGTGTCCCGGCAGGCGAGCGCAGGAGGGTGTGGGGGAAGCATCTCTCTGTGAGTCTGAGTTTGAATCGTCCGTTCCTTCCTCTGCTGCAGATGAGTGAGAGTGAGACTCTCATCAGTATGGTGAACCGCATGGTGGAGAGCTCCTCCCCCAGGGCCCAACTCTTCATGCAAGTAAGACCTCTGCTGGCAGCATGAGCCCTGTCAACACTATGTCAGCTGCTTGTGCATGGTCCAGTCAACCCACCTGGGATGGGGCTTGCTCCGCCCAGCCCACTCATCTGCCAGGCCTCATCTCCCAGGCTCAGCCCGGTCTCCCTCCTTTAATGCTAGTGTGTTTCCTTCATTCTTCATGTTCATGGATAAACCCAAGGCCCATTTCCCAAACCATCAAAATAGCACCGACATCTCATGCCTGCCAGGGATCACAGATCTGCTTTGTTAATGTCCAGGGCTTCTATTTTATATTTGGTATCTTCTCCGCAGACATTACTGGGGATGGGGGCATGGGTGTGTGACAGGGAACCATCCCAGGCCAACGGTGTGAAAAGGGTGCGGTGGTTACTGGATGCGTCATGGAGGGCAGGGAGCACGTACTGGACCCAGAGACACTTCTGTGTGTGTGTCAGTCCTGGTTCAGGCACCAGCCCTGTGACGTGTTCAATCCGCTAGGTCCGTGTTTGGCAAACTGCGGCTCTCAAGCCACATGCGGCTCTTTGGCCCCTTGAGTGTGGCTCTTCCTAAGCCTTAGGAGTACCCTAATTAAGTTAATAACAATGTACCTACCTATATAGTTTAAGTTTAAAAAATTTGGCTCTCAAAAGAAATTTCAATCGTTGTACTGTTGATATTTGGCTCTGTTGACTAATGAGTTTGCCGACCACTGCACTAGGTCAACAGTCTCAAGTATTTCCAATGCTCATTCTGTTCTCCCATGTCTGATCCTCAAACACAGCTGAAGGATAACTATTGTTCTCCTGGTTGTTACCCACAGCCCTCTGGGAGCTACACACTCTTGGAGTCCCTCTCAGCAGTAGCTTTGGGAAGAGGAGACAGCAAGAGCTGAGCAGTGCCTCTACTTCTAGAACGGGCCTAGGACCATTGGGATGGAGCCTAGACCAGGCCGCCCCAGGCTTCCCAGCCAGAGCACAGAGAGTTAGCTCAGCTCAGGGGCCCAGGTGGAAGCTACCAGAGGTGGTGTCCGATGGTCTCTGGCAAAAATGGAGCAAGGGCTGTCGCTCTCCCACCTCCGCATGCCCTCTGTGCCCTGCTGCAGTAACCGGCCTCATGTTCCCGCAGGTCCCTCCGTACCCAGAGGTGTTCCGGGACAGCGCCCACACCTACAAGTTAAACGAGCAGGATACAGACGTAAGAGCAGCGCTCCTGCTCCCTCTGTCCACTCCACCCCTCCTGCTGCTCTTCTCGTCCTCCAGCTCCTCCATCCATCTCTCTCCTCGCGGCTCTTCACACATGCGATTCATGTTCTCTCTCACTGCAAAGACAACATTCTTCCTGTCCCTTCTCCCTCCCCCCTTCTTTTCCCATTCTCCCCCCTCCCCCTGCCTCCCACTCTGGCTGTGTGTTCCCCCCTGAGCCCCAGGCCCCATGTCTCCAGCAGTGGGATCTGCTTCCTGCAGGAACTCAGACTTTGCTAGGAGGTCAGTTGTAGTCCCTAGGTAACTGGAAAGAACATGGCTGTGCCCCAGCCCTCCGGGAGCCTCAGGGTAGCGGCAGACACCAGATGCCAGTAGGTGGCAGCAGATGCTTCATATACGAACAGCCCGATAACAGGTTCTGCAGGAGTGAAACCATGTGGGCTGGTAGGTCAGGGTCAAAACAGGTGGCATGTGAGCTGGCCTTGAGCTAACAGGCCCAGAGGCATGATCTGGTTCAAGGGGAAGGAGCTGCAGGGGTATATGAGGAATGGCATGAATAGAGCTGTGCATGTAGGAAAGCACAAGTCTTTCTGGAAGAAAGTGTGGCCTCACCTGCTTTCTCTCCATCTCCACTGGCTTTTCTGGGGAGCAGATCTGCCCAGCAGGCCTGGGAGAGGTTCCATTCAGGCGAGGACCAGACCTCCGAGGGACCCCAGCGTCAGCCACCCTGAGACCCTGGCAAGGGGAGGGGAGAATAGGTGGTGTGGACCATGGAGCCAGTTTACATTGTTTACTGGGTTTCAGAGACTGTTGTCCAAACACCCTACCTACCCCTTGAGTCCATATCACCCAGGAGGCCTGGAGGGCCAGGCCACGTTCTCTCCCCAGCCCTCATGAGTTGGAAGACCTGGGAGGATGGGAATGTAGGAGCCTAATGTTTGGCGTTCAGCCCTCTCTTCTCTCAAGCTGACTCACTTCCTCAGAGAATAAACACACCTCCCCTCCCAGTGGGTTCCCGGGGAGTCTCCCAAGGTAAAGACCACCTTCCTGTTCCCAGGAGCTTCCCAAGTCAAGGTGAAAGGCTAGGCTTCTCTGCAGGGGAAAGGAGGCGGTATCCAGAGGCCGGGCCCTGCCAACCCAAGTCTCAGGTCCCCATCAAATCGTGTCCTTCACCCCCTTCTCTCTCCCTTCCTGCCCCCCACTCCCTCGGGACCCCAGAAGTTGCTGGGCAAATTGTGTGAGCAGAACAAGGTGGTGAGGGAGCAGGACCGGCTGGTGCAGCAGCTCCGAGCTGAGAAGGTGAGAACCAAGGGGTGGCCTTGAGTGGGGGCAGGTGGTGGGGGAGAGCTGGCGGGGAAGGTGTGGGCTGCCATCTCCATCTTGACTAACCTGAGAGCTTTGCCCTCCTTGAATTTCTGTCCTGCCCTTACTCTCCTGGGCAGCCTCAGGCAGGGTGAGGACAACCTCCACTAATCGGCCTGGTTGGGCCTCTAGGGCTCCGGCCTGGGTTGGGTTGCTAACAGCCCCGAAGAGGGGAGCTCAGGGCCACTCACAGCCCCCCCCCCACCCGCCTTTCCTCAGGAGAGCCTGGAAAGTGCCTTGATGGGGACCCACCAGGAGCTGGAGATGTTCGGGAGCCAGCCCGCCTACCCAGAGAAGTTGCTGCATAAGAAAGAGTCCCTGCAGAACCAGCTCATCAACATCCGGGTGGAGCTGTCTCAGGCAACCACGGTAGGTAACCACGGAAACCAGAGCAGGTCTGCACCTGCCAGGAGAGCCTCCCCTCCCCTCCCCTCCCGTCCCCTCCCCTCCCCAGCGGGGCTCCCCGAATCCCAGGTCTCCCCAGAGGGCCAGAGCAGGGTGCTCCTGGGGAGGGACACAAACAAAGACCGGAGCTCTGCCGTGCAAAGAGACAGCCGGTAACCCAGGCTGCTCACCCCACAGTCTCCAAGGAACTGGCGAACTTTCCACCAACTATACCTGCCCCAGGACAGTGTGCAGTCGAGGCCACTTATTTCCCCGGCTGCTCTGTCTTCTCCCCTGGAGAACCCGGACCCTGGCAGCAATGCTGCTGCCTGGTCATCCTGGTGGGCCCAGGGCAGACCCTCCCAGCTGACGGCCTGGGTAATAGCTCTCAGGGCAGCAGCAAAAGCCCCCGGAGAGCATGGCCAAGAGAGGAGAGCAAACCTCCAGAGGCACAGCCCTTCCCTCCGTCTCTTTCCCCTTTACCCTCCCCTTTCCATGGCCCGATCTGGGAAGCAGGAGGGTGAGGGCGCGATGCTCCCCCCTCCAGCCTGGCCACATGTCTGGAGAGGATGCTATTTTCTCTTACTTCGGTTTGCAGCAGGGCGGGCTGTGGCACCTCTTGTAAGGCCGGTGCTTGGCTGTCATTCGCATGTCGCAGGCCTGTGCGCTCTCCTCCCGGCCCTCCCCAGATCTGCCGGCTCGGGCCCTGGCCCCAGGCCCAGTCGCAGGATGAGGGATGCTAGGCGAGCTGCTTTCTCAGTAACCGCTCCCCGTGCAGGCCCTGACCAACAGCACCACGGAGTACGAGAGCCTCGAGTCGGAGGTCTCTGCCCTGCACGATGACCTCTGGGAACAGCTCAACTTGGACATCCAGGTGACCAGGGTCCTGGGCAGGGGAGGGGGGCGCGGCCCGCATGTGCTGTGGGTCTTCCCTTGTCCTTGTGGCCAGAAGAGACCAGAGTGGCTTCCTCTCTTGCTTTAGAGATTTCAGACTTAAGACGAGGAGTTGGTTTCTGAGACAAAAGACCAGGTTCAGGCCACTTCAAAGGGACTCTAAATTCCAGGATGAGGAAACGTGGGGTTCTTCTTCAGTTCCATCAAATGACAGGGAATGAGCCAAGGAGAAGCAGAGGAGCGTGTTAGATGTCAGGTGTTGTCTGACTGAAGGATTGAACAGACATAAATATAAATACACGATCGATATAAACCTCCCTCGGGACATCAGAAGGGTAGGCAGTACGGGCTACACTCAGGCATTTAGGTAGGAAGAGACCTCCTTTCAGGGACTTGTTAGAAGCCCTGTCTGGAGGCAGCGCTGGACATGCTGACCGTGGGCATCTTGTTCTCTGCCTCCCTCTGTCTTTTCTCTGCTCAGCACGCACCTCCGTGCCTCCTCTCTCGCTGGCGTTGCAAGCCCTGTTTCTCTGGTGCGGTTAAGCCCTGGTTTCCCCGGTTTTCCTCCTGTTTCCTCCTGGTAACAGAACTTACCACCCTAGCCTCGCCGCTGGTTAGGTGGAGTGAGGCGAAGGCCTGGTCCGAGGACCCAGGTGGTCGGTGGGCGACTTTAGGAGGTAGGGGAGTGTGAGCAAGAGCACCAGATCTCGGAGCAAACAGACCCAGATTCAGGTGCTGGTCGCACAACTTACAGGTGGCTGGGCTGAGTCCCTTCTTCTCGGAAGTGGGGACAGCGGCCACGCCTCATAGAGCCGTGTGGCCAGAGCGGGTTAGTGTCTGCACAGCACTGAGCGCCGTGCCCGGGGTGGGGGTGCTAAATCAGAGGTGGCCATCACTTTTCAAAGAGTGGGTGCTGTCATCGAGTATAACCCATGAGCATTTAGGCATATGCTGGGGGTGGGCATTACAGAAGAGCTACTTGGAGCTGAAGAAAACCGGGAAACTGGAGCTCAGCCTGGAAAGTGGGCTGCCCTAGAATGTCCGCCTGCGGGGCCTCCACGCCAGGACCTGTCTCCCCCAGGGGCTCTGGGGGCGGGTCCCCACTCTCTTTTGGTTCCGAGTCCTCAGGTTGACCTAAGGGGGCTCTTTCCTCTGATGACAGAGTCCTCTCCTTGGCATTCAGAACTGCGTTTCATAGAGGCTGAGGACACAGAGGCTGCCCAGTAGAGAGCGGCGAATGTGCTGGAGGGTGTGTGTGAGTGTGTGT